GATGAACACCCTGTGTTATAAACAGTCTTGTATATTTAGTTCACCCCAAAATGGGCCAGTAGTATTTGCATATTGTCACTTAACTTCTGCTGCTAGATTTCACAGAGTAAAGATCATTATGAAATTTAAATTAGCCACAGAAGAGGTGCAGATTTTGCAATAATTCAAATTGAAAAAATAAACTGCAGCAATTAACAATTTGTCAGAACCCGTACTAAATTACATGCTATTTTGTTTAGTTGTCTGTTTGTAGGAAAATCATGATATCTTTTAAAAAAAAATCGTGACTATCAATTTATCCAGAATTTAATATAAATAAGCACCAGTCAAGCTGAGATATCAAACAGGACCACAGGGAGACGCCAAAAGACCACTAAACCTGCTGCCTTGACCTTACATGCTACTATACGGATCCATTCAGAATAACTAGACCAGCGCATAATCTAAAACACCATCCAGTATAACACTCGTGGTTTTAAACCAAATACACGCTGAAAATAATAATTTACTGACATCTAGACTCGAATCTCCACAATATCTGATGAAATCGGTTGACTTTTCTCTGTATTAGAGCTGTTTTGAACTTACTGTTTGAACGCATTCGTTTACTCTGGATCCTTGGACCGAAAAGTTTACAGGAGTTTACCGGTTTTTAAGCTATTGTTTTCATTCTAATGTACTGATTCAAATTAGTAATCAATAATTAACTTTTATTTTACCACTCTGTGCGCCTCCCCTGACATGCTGTCGTGCATGAACAGGTAGCATCTCTGTCACTGTCGGCAATCAGTATCCTCTCTGACTGGGGTCGGGGACGAAGCGGGTGCAATCATCAAACATATTTAAAAGGAAGCCGGCGCCACTGTCCTGACCGCTGTCTTTACTGAGTGTTTTAGGGAATATTTTTATTTTTTATTTTTTTTTACATGCGATTGGATTAGCTATTCATGTGGTGGACTGTCATGATTTTGCCTAATGCTGGACACTAATGAATGGTGCGCATTAGAGGGGATTTAGAAGTGGGCATACGCAAAGCCGACTGACAAAGAAGTGGGTACACGCCGTATACCTGCGTATACCCTCCACTACACCACTGTTGCCGCTCATTCGTCAGATCCGCCGGGCACGCTGTTCTCGACCCCGCCGCCTCTGCTCACTCTATCCCGGCCTCAGCGCACGCTAAGGGGCTTCCCCTCACGCTAGGCCACTGTGTTTTTAGTTGTGAACGCGAAACTACTTTGTTTGGTCTTCCAAAAGAGGACACGACTACAAATCAGTGGTTAAGTTAGTAACGTTAGACTAAAATGCCGGCAGTTCTGACTCACAGTCTGTAAGTACATTTTCATTTAAAGGATTTGCCACTGATGATTCAAACGTGAGTTTTGGGCAGTGTAGAGTAGCACTTGTTGTTTGTCATTTCTCTGATCACAAATGCAGACAGTTTTATGTTTACGTGGCGCGATGCAGTCCAACGCAACGCGTAAAAAGACAGTATAAGTCATTATAATCAGTAATTATGTCCCCACTGGATGCAACAAATGCCTCGTTTGTAATGGGTTTTAATGTTTTTGTCTCGTCGCTCCGGCCGTACACGGCATCAACAGAATGTGAGGGGCGTAACTTTTCCATCTCACGCTTGAGGTATTCGGCCAATCACAACGCATTGGATAGCTGGCCAATCACAGCACACCTCGCTTTTTCAGACCGCTGAGCTTTGTAAAAATCGACGCGTTTCAGAAAGGCGGGGCATAGAGGAGAAACAATAATGTACAGTATGTGGAAAATAATGTGTTTTTTTAACTTTAAACCGCATAAACACATTTCATTACACCAAATACACAAAATATTGTTCTTTTTAGCAGCATCATATGACCCCTTTAATGCTAAAACGGCTTGCCATAGATGCGTTACTCTGCGCAAACCTCCGCATTTGAGCAGTCAATAGCAAATACTTACACTAATAACAAAACATACTTACAGTCGCTGATTCAGAAGCGCCAGATTGTCATAGCAAAGTCGGAATTTACCCTTTTTTTGGGGGGGAAATAGTTTTTGTGCACAGCCAGCCTTGTACTCTTCTAGGTTAAAAAAACTGTCGTCCATAAAATGCATTGCACAAATTCGAACATTTGGGTTGTGCTGTTCTGTTGTAAATAAATCTTAACCAATGATTCCTAATTGCATCTACTTCCGGAAGGCCAAATAAAGTGCTTTTGCTTTCGCCTAGAAACACACAGCGTCTCCCTGACATGCTGCATCAACACTACTGCGTTCCTGAAACAACGACTTCTTTCTTTGCGTGAACATTTGGGCGGCATTATGCAAATCTTCCCACATAGTGACGTAGACATGTGGGGGTTGTTAGAACTAGCCGTTTTAGGTAGGTGTGGCTGACTCTTAACTTTTATAAAGAATATCTCTTTGGATTTGAGACTTTAGTCTTTGCAACTTTACAGATCTTCTTTATGCACCAAGAGCTTGTAACACTCCAAAGAGAAAGGAAAAATTGAAATCGCATCATATGACCCCTTTAAAAGGCAAGGTTACTTGAGTCAGAAACAATGAAAACAATAACTTTTTCTTGAGGTGTTCGCGATGCGGCTTCATGTGCGCGGCGCTTTGGATGTGAGCGCGCAAGAACCGAATGGTTTAAAAAGACGTGCAAATTATAAACTTTTGTGATGCAACACTGACCCGATTAGGCAAGTGACAGTTCTGTCAGCTGAGCTAAAGCAGCCTTGTATGGCAGCGTGCAGCAGCTCTCTTAGTGCAGACGAGATGCGCTGATGTGAGGCAATTTTGAGAGAGAGAAGACGCGGTACAGCTGAACCACTCACGCTGTTTTCAAATGACTGACTTAATCTGATATTCTGTGTGAATTTTTTTTACTCATCTAACCTACATTGTATATTAAATACGTGTTTGCGGGAATTTTCCAAACGTGCGAAACCTGCGGGAATGAGTAAAAGCAAAATGCGCAATCCCGCACCGAGATTCAGGACATGATCAAACATATATTCTATTATATATAGATTTGTAAAATAAATTTCCACGACTTTTCCAAAGCTTTCTGGGGTTTTCATGACCGAACGAACCCTGTAAATGGCTGTTTCTATTTGTTTTTTAATCGTTTTGATGAAATTTCGGCTCCACTTTGTGTGGTGGTTGTGAGACGGGACAAAGTCCCTGTAAGATATTAGGGTAGCCTATTCTATAGTCTCTGGACGGTGCTCAAAAGAGAGCGCTCAAAACTCTTCAGATTAATTTAGTGGAACATAATATAGAATCATCCTCTGTCAAGAATTGAGGCGTGAACGTGAGAATTTATCATTATCTTTCTAAATGTGCGCTCTTTTGGGCTAAAGGCTTAATTGAACCGTTTAAAGTCGCTATGTGATCACAAATTAAACGGCGATTCGGCGCAGCGCAGACGTGATTTAATACGCGTGTCCTTTTTCTATGTGAAAAAAATCATAAATTCCAGTTTATGCTGTTTGATTATGGCTTCGAAGGTCGTAGTTGGAAGCTGTTAGCCCCGGCTGGCCCGTGTGCGCAGTTGAAATGCGGCTAATAATTTCTGACTGGCACATAACTGAACAAATGTAAACGGGTTAAGGCAGGGCCCCCGCCTTGTAGGGTGCAGCCCATTCAAGCCCAATGGTAAGTCCGGCCATGGATGGGATGTTTGAAGGTCACAAGATAACTGTGTGTTAGAGAAAGATAAATAGAAATACACAAAATATTACAGGAGGCTAGCGATGTACCACATTCACAATGTTAACACCAATAACTTTATTCTTGACAACATATAATTTAATCACAGTAGGCCTACTGCTCAGGTTGCTTACAATGCAATCATTTTCTGCTGTCAGTTATTGCTTCACACATATAGTGAAGCAATTTAACATAGGTAAATGTAAACGGGTTAAGGCAGGGCCCCCGCCTTGTAGGGTGCAGCCCATTCAAGCCCAATGGTAAGTCCGGCCATGGATGGGATGTTTGAAGGTCACAAGATAACTGTGTGTTAGAGAAAGATAAATAGAAATACACAAAATATTACAGGAGGCTAGCAATGTACCACATTCACAATGTTAACACCAATAACTTTATTCTTGACAACATATAATTTAATCACAGTAGGCCTACTGCTCAGGTTGTCAGTTATTGCTTCACACATATAGTGAAGCAATTTAACATAGGATTTAGATTTAAATCTAATATACAGAGACAGAAAAGCATCAATAAATTATTAGTTGTAGACTTGTACAATACGTTTTCCTTAATACTAGTACAGTATAATTCTCTTGCAAAACAGACAATGACATTGTAACATGAAAAATCAGTAAACTATTCAGTCTGACCTGAAACTTTACAGTATACACAAGGAAATTGAATATAATATATAATTTTCTGTTTTCACAAAAATAAATAAATAAAATAATAAAATCAGTGATGAAATGTCAGCCTCCTCTTCGAAAAAAATAAAATCATCTTCTTGAAAGTGCAACAAATATGTATTTAAGTAAATCCTACATTTTAAAAACATGGTTTTTGTCATGCTGTAGTCTTGTCATTTGTCGATTGGTAATCATGAGTATATATAGGTGTGCTTCTATGTATCCTAAGTTACAGCATGTTACATCAATTTTGGTGAGACCATTACATGTCCTTGGGAGCAACAGTGTGCTGATATATTTTTTTCTGATATATTTTTGGTTGTGCACAACATTTTCAGTATTTGGATGTACATGCTTTCTTTGATTGTTCAATCATTCTACGTAAACTTAAATCAATGAAAACTGAAAATCCTTAAACTTATTCCACACAGTTTAAGACGAATAATATCTTAAACTAAGAAAAAACTAACAAAGAAAAAAGAAAACTTATTAACACTCAGATGTTATTCATATAAAACACTACTTTACTTGGTTTGATTTTATGACCAACAACAGTTAAAATGATAATAAGACAAATAATAATAATGTATAATAATATGGTGTACAATTCATAAAATATTTTGTAGCATGATAATTCACAAAAAAAAATCCCTGAAAAACAAAGATGAGTGACAGATGCGCTAAGCATGAGCAGGTGGGTTATCATGCTTCAGTTGTGTTCAGACATTCAGATGTGTGCAGAAGTTACAGTCACAGCAACTCTTCAGTTCTTAAAGGACAGCATCTAGTATAAACTAATGAACAGTAAATTAGAGATACTCTTAAAGACAACTAAATAATTAGAATTACCCATTGATAGATTAGAGAGATGTGAGCAAAAATGACTGGCATTACAATTGTAAGTACACACAAAACATAGTGGTCACCCTACTGATCAAATTTAGTCAGGACACTAAACCTAGCTTACAAGTCCTTAATATTTAGTTTGTACTGAACTATAGATGAAATATTACAGCACTTGTGACTACTTTACAATATAAGTATTGTATATATTAGTTGAAGTTGTATTTGATGGTATAAATACTTACTCAAAATTCTCTAATTTGTTTTGTGGATCATCGCTTAGGTCAGAGAGCAGCTTCACTGCAGAGTACCCAAGTTTATTCCCAAATAGATAAAGATTTCTCAAATGTGAGGGGCTTGATGTCAAAGCTGCAGCCAGAGCAGCACAACCTTCATCAGTAATACCACAATCCCACAGCCTGCAGAAAGAACAAAGAGAAACTCCCTCCTGTTCAGTGGTTTCTTAAATGCCATGTATCATGTAAACTTTAAAAAAAATAAACCATAGTTGCAATTCAAAACAACTTAGATTTGTCGAGGAATAGTAAAATAGTAGAAACAGATGACCAGCTTTGAAATTTTGTTAATTTCAAGAGTTCACTAAAAGAATAAACCTGTGCATTGCAATGATTTTCCCACTGGTAAGGGGTGTTTTAGGCACAATTAGGTACATCTTGTGTTCTCTGACTTGCATAAGATCAGCACAGAAGGCAACATTTTGTGAAAGACTCTTTTAGCCAGATTTGATGGGTGTCAATGAGAGGGGTAATCTTACTTTAATGTCTCCAGTTTACAGTGAGGGTGCTCCAGAGCAGCAGAGAGTACCTTCACTCCTGAGTCTCTGAGCTCATTCTTATCAAGATAAAGCTCTTTCAGGTCTGTTGAATTTGATTTCATAACTGAAGCCAGAGCAGCACAGCCTTCATCTGTGACACCACAATTCATCAGCCTGTAAACAGATGTGAAAAGTACTTTAGCAGCAAATTGATACTAAAACAAATGTAATGATACTAGAGCCCTGCACGGGCCTCAAATATAGGCCCTAGCCCAGCCCTGGCCCGAGATCCTCAGGCCCTAGCCCGGCCCTTGTCCGACAGCTCATCAGAATTCTTGGCCCGAGTCCGACCCGAGCCCGTTTTTCCCCGCCCTTCTCCCAAAACAGCTTATACTACTGTTTCAGCTATTAAAATAGTTCAGTTTTGTATGTAATGTCAAAGTGATTATATTTCGTTTCGTTTTTTAAGTTAATTTAGAAAAACGTTTGGAGCATTTTTTGTTCGTTAAATGTAAGTTTTTGTTTTTTAAAGTAACGACCAAGCGGCCAGCGGCAGACAGTGAGTTGATCATGTTTGATCAATTTAGCCTTCTCAAATCATCCCGACTTGCCTAAAATAAAATCTATAGATATAAAACAGTTCAAGCATATCACAATGTTAGTTTAAATGTTTAACCTAGATAAATGTGCGCTATTAGATGCATATCTAATTGTTTGTGCAGAGAGCTAAAGCGCGCTTTACATGACATGGAGGCGCCGGCGCGATCACTTGCGTTGGAAACAACGTAAAATACGCAGTCATTTTTGCTCATAAAGGTAAGAGTAATACATCACTCGGAACTGTAAAGGGTCTACTTTTATTTGTGTGCACTCACAATATCAACAAAACGTTGTGATTTTATAAAATAAAGGATAAATACTAGATGCTTTCTGCAATTTCGGCCAGGAGCACTTCACAATGATGAACCGAGACTCAGCGAATACTTGCCTCACAGACTTGCTAAATATATCTATAGAACATTTTAAATTACTACTTTAAATTGAAATAATTCAAATCAAAAACAAAAACGGAACCCGACGGGCTTGCAGGCCTCTAAATGATACTAGTCATTCTATAGTGTCATTCTCAACTCAGTGTACTTCTATTACTAATATGTGCCTGAGTGGGGACAAGGAAATGTTTGACTCTCACATTCTTACCTTAGTATCTCAATATTACAGAAATGTCCAGCCGAAAGCTGCTTCACACCCGAATCTCCTAGTTTATTCCCAGACAGATCCAGATCTATGAAGTGTGAACAGGTTGATCTCAGAGCTGCACAACCTTCTTGAGTGATGCCACAATGCATCAGTCTGCAGTGTAACACAGAATATTCAATTAACTCTCATCTCATATTATTAGGAGCATCAGACCGTTGTGCATTTTACCTCAGTATTTTCAGCTTGCAGTGAGGATTTGCAAGTCCACCAGAGAGCTTCTTCACTCCCGAGTCTCCAAGTTTATTCTCTGATAAATCCAGTTCTCTCAAGTGTGAGGGGTTTGATGTCAAAGCTGATGCCAGAGCAGAACAACCTTTATCTGTCACACCACATCTGATCATACTGACGAGAGAACAATGAAATTCTCTTCACTCTTTAAGCTCAGGATATATGAGATAAGCTTAGAAGGAACATTTTATATAATACTGTGAAAACATTATTAATTCATAACATAATTACCACAAACAAGAATAATTCACAATGTAAGACATAAACATTGAGTAAATGATGACAGAATTTTCATTTTTTGGGTAAACTATTCCTTTAATTCCTCAACATTAAAAATGATATATCAGAGCTTTAGGAGAGATTATTTTACCTCAGTATCTCCAGTTTACAGCATGGATTCTTCAACACATCCAAGAGCAGATTAATTCCTTTGTCTCCAAGTTTATTTCTATCCAGATAAACTTCTCTCAGGTGGAAAGGGTTAGAATTCAAAGCTGAGGCCAGGGCAGTACAACCTTCATCAGTAAAGCCACAATTCCATAGCCTGATAAACAAAAGAATAGTCAAGTATTTTTCCGTACTTCTTTGCTCTTGCTAATATATATAAGCTCATGAAAAATGGGGTCAAAAACAAAAGTGTTGCATTTATAATTTTGTTCAGTGTATATATATATGTGTGTGTGTGTGTGTGTATACATGATCTTACTTAAATATCTCCAGTTTACAGTATGAATTCTGCAATCCAGCAGCAAGCTGCTTTACTCCTGTGTCCTGCAGGTTATTGCAATTCAGACTGAGCTCTTTCAAGCTCAATAATTTAGTTTTAAGCGCTACAGCCATAACAGAACAACTTTTGTCTGTCAGTTTACAGTTTGCAAGCCTGTGGGGGAAACAAATGATATACTGATGAGCACTTTATCATATGATAAATGATACTAACAATAAAATGACAAATAGTGTAAACATACAAAATAAATAAATCACAATTAACCTCCCACTCAATTTCAGCTCCATTACAAATGACTGCTTGTAAGGGTGTCCCTGTCTCATGTTCAGGAGTTGCAACCTTGCATATACTTACCTCAGTACCTCCAGTTTACAATGTGGACTCTCTAGACCAGAAAAGAAGTCCATCGCTCCTTCATCCTTAAGTCCATTTCCATTTAAGTTCAGCTCCCTAAGACAGGAGTTATTTGAACTGACAGCTGAGGCTAAAGCTTTACAACACTTCTCTGACAGTATACAGTAATGAAGACTGTACAAGAAAAAAGATGATGAAATTACAGTAAATGGGATTAAAGTAAATCTTCAGATGCAGTGCAGAGTTTGTTCTAACCTGCATTAGACTAAGCATAAACATTAGACTTTGCACTTTCAAGAAAAAAGTAGCTTGGTTTGTGGACTATAAACTACTTTCACAAGTTTGACATTTCAGTTTTATTTGGACTACTGGTAATTTAGACTATCTGGCAAAACATGAACCAAGTTTCACTCTTACATTGAGTAGGACAGGTAAATCATACATACAAGAATTGCAACAAATATGCACCAGTAGAAGTTTCTAACGTTTTGCTCTATAGAATAACAAAAAAAAATTAAACTAACAGATTGCTATCTAAAATTTCAAAACAGAGGGTTTGTTGAATTCATGTGTTTTAACAAATAAGTGATTAACCTTCACCAGTGATGAATTTTTGTTGTCCATGCTGATGAAGGAACATACAATTTTCTACTCTTGTTAATGACTAGAAAGATTGTTGTCATATTAAAACAATCAGAAGTGGTACTTACTGTGCTGTTTTAGAAGCTTCAATCACAGGCAGCAGCCTCACAAGAACTTCATCAATGTCACTGCACATTCTGGCATATTTGCTCATGTGAAACACATCCAGCTCTTCTGAGGTCAGCAACACAAAGGCAACAGCTGACCACTGAGAGCGTGAAAGTCGTGTTCCTCTTATTGTTCCAGAATTAAGAAAATGCTGAACTTCCTTGATAAGAGAATGGTCACCCAGTTCATTCAGACAGTGGAACAGGTTGATGGACCTCTCTGGAGAGGGATTCTCCATTATCTTGTGTTTGATGTACTTAATGGCTTTTCCTGTGCAACCGGAGCTACTTCCTGGTTGTTTAAGAAGGCCTTTTAAGAGAGTGTGATTGGACTCCAATGAGAAGCCCAGAAAAAAACGAAGGAATACATCCAGATGCCCATTTGCACTGGCCAGGGCTTTATCAACAGCAATTTTAAGCAGGTCAGATAGAAACATTCCTGGATTTGATAACATAGATGGTGTGGTATATTGATCTGGTGTGATATTGAACACATTTATCTTATTGTTGATAAAGGAGAGGTACACATACAGGGCTGCAAGATGTTCCTGCATAGTCAGATGAACAAAACAGTAGACTCTTCTCTGACACAGTACAAACTCCTCTCTAAAGATCTGAGTGCACAATCCTGAGTACACTGATGCTTCTGTCACATCAATGCCACACTCTCTCAGATCTTCTTCATAAAAGATCAGATTTCCTTCCATAAGCTGCTGAAAAGCCAGTTTGCTCAGTTTGTAGATCATGTCTTCATCATTCACTTTCTTGTCATAGTCTTTCTCATTGTTGATTTTGGTCTGAAGGACCAGGAAGTGTGTGTACATTTGAGTGAGAGTCTTGGGAATTTCTCCACTCTCTGCTTCACTCAACATCTTCTCTAGAACAGTGGCTGAGATCCAGCAGAACACTGGGATGTGACACATGATGAAGAGGCTCCTTGATGACTTCAGGTGTGAGATGATTCTCTCAGCCAGACTCTCATCAGTGATTCTCTTCCTGAAGTATTCTTCCTTCTGAGGGTCATTAAAGCCTTGTACCTCTGTCACTCGATGGACACACTCAGAGGGAATGAGATCAGCTGCTGCTGGTCTGGAGGTGATCCAGATGAGAGCAGAGGGAAGCAGATTCCCCACAATGAGGTTTGTCAGCAGCACGTCTACTGAAGCAGATTCAGTCGCATCACACAACCTCATGCTGTTCTGAAAATCCAGAGACAGACGACACTCATCCAAACCATCCAAAATAATGTAAACTTTATATTGATCACTGTTTATTTCCAATTCCTTTGTTCCCATGAAAAATGTATTAAAAAGTCCCAGGAGACTGAGACTTTGATTCTTCATAAAATTGAGCTCTCTGAAAGGAAGTGGTAATATGAGGTGGGCGTCTTGATTTGCTTTCCCTTCAGCCCAGTCCAGAATGAACTTCTGCACAGAGACTGTTTTTCCAATGCCAGCTACTCCTTTAGTCAGAACAGTTCTGATGGGTTTGTCTTGTCCAGGTAAGGGTTTGAAGATGTCATTCAGATTGACTGGTGTATCTTCTGTTCTTGCTCTCCTAAATATTTCAATTTGTCTGATCTCATGTTCATTATTGACTTCTCCACCTCCATCCTCTGTGATGTAGACTTTTGTGTAGATGTCATTGAGGACTGTCAAAGTTCCCTGATTTGCTGTTCCTTCATGCAAACACTGAAATTTTTCTTGCATGTTTGATTTGAATTTCTCAAAAACAGCTGAACCATCATGTTCAGATTCAAAGCTGATGAAACAACAATAATAATTAGTTAATAATTAGCTATATTATTTTCATTCATTTTGTTATTCAGTATGCATTGTCACAAGTGTGGAGCTGGTGGAAGTTGTTAAAGGGGTCGGTCATATGATGCGATAGATTTGCATAACGCCGTCCAAATGTTTACGCAAAGAAAGAAGGCGTAACTTTTATTCTCGCTGTAGTATTGCTGTTGCCGCCGCCATGTCGTGAAGGCGCTGTGTGTTTTGTTGTGAAAGCGAAACTACTTTGTTTGGTCTTCCAAAAGAGGACAATATCTGCTTCGTCATGCCTGGAGCTGATCCGTGCTGGTCGCTGAGGAAATACATCAACTTCACGCTGTGGATCAACGGATCGGCTTTCACTGTGTGTGGATGAAGCGGAGTCCAGCCCGGGATCGTCACATGTGGTTGCCGTGAGCCCTCCGGACGCTCCTTCGTCGAATCCACCGGCCGCACCGTTCTCAAGCCCACTGCCTCTGCTCACTCTAGCCCTCCGGCCGTTCCTCACTCTAGCCCCTGGCCTCTGCTCACTCTAGGCCTCTGGGTTTCGTTGGGAAAGCGAAACTACCTTGTTTGGCCTTCCAAAAATGGGCACGACTAGAAATCAGTGGTTAAGTTTTATTTACAACACTGTTCCAGAACACTTCAACCCAAATATTCAGATGTGTGCAGCACATTTTATGGAGGACTGTTTACTGATCCTGGTAGAGTAGACTATAATGCCGGCTGTTCTGACTCACATACTGTAAGTACGTTTTTAATATTTAAAGAGCTTTTATATTTTATATTTTTTATATTTAAAGCGAGTTTTTTGAGCCGTGTAGGGTAGGGCTTGTTGTTTTTCATTTCTCCAATCACAAATGATCACATGGTTTTATGTTTACGCGGCGTGATGCAACGCAACGCGTAAAAAGACAGTATAAGTCATTATACTCCATAATTATGTCCCCACTGGATGCAACAAATGCCTCGTTTATAATGGGTTTTCATGTTTTTTAATCATCGTTCCGGCCGGACGGCATCATCACAGTATGGTGAGGGGCATAACATTTCCGCCACATGCTTGAGGTATTCGGCCAATCACAACGCACTGGATATCTGGCCAATCAGAGCACACCTCGCTATTCAGACCGATGAGCTTTGTAAAAATCGACACGTTTCAGAAAGGCGGGGCATAGAGGAGAAACAATAATGTACAGTATGTGGAAAATAATGTTTTTTTTAACCTTAAACCGCATAAACACATTTCATTACACCAAATACACAAAATAATGTTCTTTTTAGCAACATCATATGACCCCTTTAAACAAATACTTATTACTGGAACAGAAATTACAAACCTTTGTTGTAGTACCATGTCTCCCTCTTTCTCAATGTTAGATGTATCTCTAGACCAGTTATTTCTGATGGACAGCATGCTGGTTATAAAAGAGTTTGAGCTCTCTCCAGGTGATACTGTGTCATCTTTTAAGTTGGGTGGATCAACAATAGACATATTGCTTTTCATAGTCAGATAGCTGGGTGCTGTAGAGACTGATCTTGATCTTATTCCTGATCTTATGGTGTTTAGTCTGTCAATATTAAAACCCGAAATATGAAAGCAGTTACACAAGTACAAATGATTATTGAAAAATGACTAGTGAACAGAAGAACTAATACTGACAATCATTAATTACACATTTCATTTGTACGATGCTGGCTGTTTGATTGCTGGATTGATGCACATCTTACCTGCTTTCAGGTGACATTCTGCCATCTTTTAAATTTGGCGGATCAACAATAGATTTGTTGCTTTTCATAGACAGGAAGGTGGACTCCGAAGAGACTGATCTTGATCGCTTTCTTGATCTTAACACGGTAAATAACAGTATAAATTTGATGCTGTTTAGCTTTTTTTTAAAAATGTGTTTGTATGTCATTGTGATGTTTAATTTGCTGCCATCAGTAACATACCTTTTTGGAGAAAACTCTCGATCTTTTAACCCTTCTGCTTTGTCCATTAGTTACTGGAACTTCGATAACTTCTTCTTAGTGATTAATACAGAACTGGCCAAAATATTATATATTTTTTGTTATGCATCTATATTCCAAAGTTTATAGACAGTTATAGAAGTATTTAAAATGGCTCCTGTTTTGTTTCCTTCTCAGTGGATTCAACTCACTCACTGAGAGAAGAAAATTCAGTTTTCACTTTCAGGTTTACAAACTGATAAATAATGACCATTACATATTATTGACAATGTACAGTCTGATATGGCTCCTAACAAAAAGTGTGCAGTGTTGCTATAGGCCCATTCCCAGTGAAATGGGTAAAACATAGCAAAGGCTGTTACTTTCAGATCATACGCAGTTTTGGTACAAAATACCGGATATGTATAAACAAGAAAAGTAGCACAAACTTGTCAGCAGTCGGATGGCCAGCACTTACAATTTTTACTGTCAGTACTTACAATTTTGTAGACTTATTTACATGTCTCAAATTTGATCCAGCATGCAACCAAAACAGGCCATAAAGTAATCGCAGTTCTTGACGTCCTTTCACTTTTGATTTCATTAGCACTTGTTATAAGAGAGAGAGAGAGAGAGAGCGAGAGAGATCTTGAAGAGATGAATCGTCGCTGACACGAGGCAGACAGCAGGCGGCAGCAGTTACTGCATCACTGACGCAGATGGCGGTAACCCGTTTCTTCCACAATTTTGAAGTTTGTTCCGAAAAAGAGGGAGAGTTGCCCTGTCCAAATACCCACACTTGCGGTCTTTGCACTTGACCACTTATATGACGTATTTCCTGTATTTGGCCCAAGTGTTCAAGTGAGGATGAAGACGAACTTTTCATTACCTGATGGGACACAGTAGCCTTGTCCAAATACCACACTTGTATGGGGGTAGAATTGTTGCTTAATTCCAAATAAATAGATTATGATCCACAAATAAATAGAATGAGATCCACAAATAAATCTTAAAGTTTCACAAACATGAATTAAATTCACAAATAAATAAAATGAGATTTGCAAATAAAAAACATATTCACAAATATATTTATGTCACAACCACAACTTTGCCTGGCATTTATTTGTGAATCGCGTCCTGTGCATTTGTAGATAGCTGCACGCATTTGTGAATCACGTCCTGTGCATTTGTAGATAGCTGCACGCATTTGTGAATCGCGTCCTGTGCATTTGCGAATTGTGAAACATTACTTGCGTCAAGACGTGCTGACAATCCACAAATACGTGGACTCCACCCACCATCTACTCAAGCCAATCAGATAACAGCCACATTCGCTGACCAATCATAGCACGATCTCGCTATAGCCAATCACGTTTTGCTTTACAATCAGGGCGGTCTCGTCCTGAGATAACTTCATGCATCTGCATTGGCTCAAATAGGTCATATAAGGGCCATACAATGGGTACAGTAAAAGATGTTTAAAACGGGATTTCCTTAGACCATTAGACTGTGTATAATGCCAAGCCACTGTATTTTATGTTACGTGCCTTTGAAAATGCCAGAGGAAGCTTTAAATCACGGCTATATGGGAACAACGCTATACTGTATTCAAATGGAATGCAGTCATTATGGAAGCGTCATTTATTCAATATGGAAATAAAAGTGTCAATAAGTAACTGACTAATAAATAACTGAACTCAACCTCATAATAAACATTTGTTTGTGTAATAGGTTAAATTGCCATCACACAACAGCCAACAGCATTTCCCAGTTTTTCAGTCAAGTCGATGTATATGAGCTGCTCTGTGGATCTAACGATGTATGAAGTTTTTCATATTCTGTGGTGGTCACAGCAGTAATAGAAATTAATCTACCAATAAGCTTAAATATATATATATATATTTTACATTTTAAAAGCATTTTTACATTTATAAAGCCATTTTTTCTTAAAGTGTGCCTCATCTTTTTGAGTCAAATTATTGCATATAATTTGTCAATTAGAATAATGAGACATTTGGGCTGTTACCAAACAAATGGTATAAATATCAACGAAA